ATAATAATGATATATTGTACTCATATTGTTCTATAACTACTCTTGTTATTTGTTTTGATTCTCTAATGCAATAACTTCACATCTCATTGTGTGTCAAACGACGAATTGTGAGAGGTTTACAGAGATTTGAAAAAATATAAGATAATTCTCCGAATTTATTGTTGTTTGTTATTCATTATCTAATTAATTCAAAAAATATCAATCTTATCTTTTTTAGGTTCAGTTAATAATAAAGTTAAGATTTCATACAATATTATAATTATATAAAAGGATGATGGTCCCTTAACCAAGGGCGGTTTAATTCCTCAAATAATTTAATTAAAACTTTATTTAATTCGAAATTTCTGCAATTCTTGTCAGTTTGCTGTACGCCTTATCTTTAAAAATTGTAATTCCCCTCTATCACTTTTACGCCAGTTGAGGATCGCATGACTTTAATTGATGCATACCACTTAAATCGGTAAATCATAAATATTTCATTGACAATATTTCTATTGTAACCATATCTACTTTATATGGTTTTACCGATATGAAAAAAAAAAAAATAACGATATGTACGTAAATCGCGTATGTCATTTATCGGCAATGTATGTATGTTATGTACTGTACTTTATTATAATAAAAAAAAAAAAAAATTGATATTACATAATTCATTGTACAATAAATTACAATATCCCCAGTTTATAATTTATTCGTGGGGTGGGAATAATTTTAATTCGACAGTTTCTATATTTTAACTTGATTTCATTATAAAGTTCCGAAGTTTCCCGTGTTTTCCCACTACAGAAAAATTCGGAATCTTCCTTTTTATTGTTAAAGTTAAGGTTCACTTTTCCTGCAAGAAATATTCGTTCTTTATTGATTTTGGCGTTCTAAAGTTTTCTTATTATGTAAGTAAAATTCGGAATGTTCGTGAAAAAAAATTCGTAGTACTGAAACTTAATAATAATCAACTTTCTCGAATTAACCAATTTTGAACGTGGCAAAATCCATTGGTTTAATTATAAAATTTTCATTTATTTAAAAATTAACTATTCCAGTAAGTAATAAATCTATTTACGTAAAGAAAAATTTTGAACAATCCTTTGTTTCAGAGTTAAATGTTGATAAAATGTTTTTACCAAATCGGTAAAAACCGTTTAACGGATATGAAATATACAATAATAATAATATAGTTACTATATAATAATAAATTACATAAAAATAATAAAATAAAATAAAATAAAATAAAAAATTTTTTACATAAATTTACATATATCTGATATATATATATATACATAATATAATTAATGAGATTGATTAAATTGATCTTTTATATAATTATTTAATGATTCTAAATAATATAAATTATCAAAAATTAAAATTTCAAAATTTATTTGAAAATTAATCGGAAATTTTGGTTGAGAAATTTCTATATCACTATAAAACATATCTGATAATAATTTAATCTCTTGAGCAAATTTTGATTTGGTTGATAAAACATCTTTTGTTACTTTAATAATACCATAGTCAGGATGAATAAATGAGAAATGAAATGTTGAATCCCCATTTTTTATATTTTGTATTCCTTTACGACAAATAAGTCCAATTGGCTTGATAATTTTATCTTTTCTTAAAAATATACGAAGTGTTGGACATTTTTCTTCCATATCGTTAAACATATCCAAATCATTGTTTTTACCTATAAAACACATTTCATCTTCTTTACGAATTATATTAAAAAGAAAGTAAAGGTTTTTTCTTTTTTCTTTTTTTTTAAAAAAAAAGAAAATTAAGAAATTTCTATCAATAAAATATTTTATTTTATTTTATTTTTTTTTTTTTTTGAATTTCCCAATTTATATAAAATATTGTAAATTGTATTCGCAAAGGTCCAGTTCATTGTTAATCGGTACACGTTACAGTCGTTACACGTTCAATTTATAATGATCGTCATATCGTCATATATAATTCAATAATTCAATTCCTTTTTTAAAATCATTTAATTATTTACAATGAACGTTTTACTGCGCTGATTTAAGATTATCTGAAATTTTTTTTTTTTTTTTCTCTCTTTTTTACCTAAAAATGGCGAGAGTATTATATCATTTTTGTATAATATCTACTTTTTTTTTTAATGAAATTATTTTTATTTATCTTATTATTCATTTTATTAGAAAAAGAGAAGAACTCATGTTAAGGTTGATGAAACTGTCACAAATAGTCCTGACTCTCCAAAATTACCAAAAAGTTTTGTATTCAAATCTGGTCATGTAGGAAAATCTGTTGAAGCTTTAGTTAGAGACATGAGAAGAGTTATGGAACCTCATACTGCAACAAAATTAAAAGTATTAAAAAAAATTTTTTATATTTTCTACATTTTTCTTACATTTCCTAATTTATTTAAATCATATTATTTATAAGGAAAGAAAATCAAATCGATTAAAAGATTTTGTAGCCATAGCAGGTCAATTTGGTGTAACTCAATTTTTAATATTTACACGAACGGATAATGGAACTAATTTTAGATTAACGAGAACTCCAAGAGGTCCAACTTTATGTTTTAGAGTGTTAAAATATTCTTTAATTAGAGATGTTTTAGCTTCTCAAATTGATCCAAAAAGTTTTATTTCCGAATTTCATACTCCTCCATTGGTAAAAAAATTTTATTATTGTTAACTATTTTTCTTTATAGTTTTAATAATTTTATTTTCTTTCTTTGTTTTTAGCTTGTATTAAATAATTTTGATGGTGATGAAAATCATTTGAAATTAATGATAACTATGTTTCAATCCATGTTTCCTTCTATAAATGTTAACAAGGTAATTTATTTAAAGTTAAATCTTAACTTTACAAATTTATATTAAAATTTACCTTTTTTTGATTCTTACTATAAAATAAGATTCAATTATCAGATGCTCGTAGAGTTGTATTATTTAACTATAATCCTGATACGAAAATAATAGATTTTAGACATTATAGTATAGGAGTAAAACCAATAGGAATTAGTAAAAGTGTACGAAAAGTAATAAATTCTAATGTACCAGATTTACATGAATATCGTGATATTAGTGAATTTGTATTAAGGTAATTAAATAATATTACTTTTTTTTTTTAAAAAAAAAAATAATAATTAAAATGATTTTTTTTTTAGAGAAGGTCATATATCAGAAAGTGAAGCTGAAAGTGGAGTTGAAGCTACAGTAACGTTGGCACAAGATTTTGTTGGTAAAATCAACAAAAAGTCTGATCAACGTGCTATTAAATTAACTGAAATTGGTCCAAGAATGGAATTACAATTAGTTAAAATTCAAAGTGGTTTATGTGATGGAGAAATTTTATTTCATGAATTCAGTAAGTAATTAAATAATTGAAATTTTGTTATTTAATAAATTTTTTTTTTTTTTTCTTTCTATTTAATTTTTTTACATATTTTTTAGTTAAGAAAACACCCGCAGAAATAAAAAGTATTGAGCGCGAAAGACAAAAAAAGAAGCAAGAAACTGCTTTAAGACGAAAAGAACAAGAAAAAAATGTTGAGAGAAAGAAAGCCGAAAAAGAAGCTCATAGGTTAGCTACGAGTGGTCGTACTATATCGGAAAGTAAAGATGAGGAAGAAGATGATGATGAGGATGAAAGTGACGAGGAAGGTGATGATGATGATGAAGTAGATGAAAAAGAAGATAATGATGATGATGATGATGAAAGTGATGAGGATGATGAGGATGATGAAGACGAAGTAGATGAGAAAGATGAGGAGGAGGATGAGCAACAACAATCTTCTGCAGATGAAATGGATGTTGATCCAAAATACATTGGCTCACCCTGAAAATTGGCTATTGGTCAATAAAAAAACTAGATCCAAGTAAAATTAACTTGTGCGACCCATTTATCTTAGAATTTTAAATTGTGTTGATTTGCCCTTTATTTAATTAATAAATTAAGGTATGTTTCTAAATCACATTTGTAATTGTTAATCTAATTATGTTATACATAATTCACTAAACATTATTTGATTTTTTTATCAAGATTGTAGGTGTATTACCCCGTATAAGCTTTAAAATATAAAAAATTGATAATACAGTATATATAAAATCCTAGCGTAAGTTTATATTAAGTGTAATAGTTTTGCATTTCCATAAATTTTTTACAACAAGCAATTTTTATTACAAATTCTAATAAATATACTAAAAAAGTATATATGTATATAATTTATACTTATTATATATAATATCAAATCTTTGATTTTTTTTAAATTATAAATTAATCTTTAACTTTTAGTTATTTACAAATCAGAAAATAAAAGCATTATATTTTTTGAAAATTTAAAAAAAATTTCCATTATTTTCTTATCCATCTATTTACTTTATTTATAAATAAAAGATTTACAAATTTATTTCTTTAACAAAAAGTAAGGTAAAGTTTTTTTTTACTTAAAAAACTTTTAGAAAAAGTACCTCACTAAAATAATTAAAATTTATATATTTATTATAATATAATATTTATTTATTATACTATATTACTATAATAATATATTACTAATAAAAAAATATACATAATTATCTTTTTAAACCTAATTCTATAGAAAAAAGCTATTTTAAACTTATAATAAGTTTCTGAAATATCAAATATTACTAAAGGCACAATTGAAAGTATAGTATCAAATTAAAATAAATGTAATAATAATATATTTATATAATATAAATAACTTAAATTTTAATTAACAAAAAAATATTTTAAAAATTTTAACAAAAAATATTATATTTATTTTCTTTCAATTGTGTTGTAAAATTCAGATCCAAATTTAATTAAGAATCTGTGAGATCATTTGGATTGTCAGATTCAAAAAAGAAAACCTCTAATTAGATCTAAACAAAAATTAATTAATGTAATAAAAAAAGAATATATACATATAAAGAAAAATCAGCAGAAATATCTTGCAATTATTTTATTATTTTACAAAAAATCTTTTTGATTTTTTAAATTTATTAATACTAAAATTTGGTTTATTTTCATCTTTATTAATTTTGTCTTATAAGAAAATTTTATTTATATCAAAACTCACAATTATATTAGTGTTATAATGCTATCAAATAAATAAAATTTACTTTATTTATAAATCATCCAATCACTTTATTAAAATATATCTAAAAAGATATCAATCATATAATCCAAAAAAATTACAACTAAATAAACTTTATCAGAAATTTTGTTTAATACAATATAAAAAATTTAAATAAAAATTAATACAAAAACTGTTATATTTTTATATAGATATAATTAAAAAAAATCTTAATACCAAAATAACTTATGTTAATTTTAAAATAAAACAATTCTCTTTATAATTATACATTTAGAACAGTTTATATTAAATGATTATAAAGAAATATGATTACATAAAAAATTTTTTATATATAGCTAAAAATTAACTAAAATTATACTTAAAAACTTTATTATATTATAATTCCATTAATATTAATTATAAAAAGAAAATTTTATTACTATTTTATTCATCTTAATGAAATAATTCTAATAATATAAAATACATTAAAATCCAATAACTAGATCAATTTTTAAAATTAAAATATTAAATAGTTTTTAGGTAGTAATTATACTAATATTAATTGTAGAGTAATAATCTTACTACCATTTAATTTATTTCAATGAGATGAATTTAATGATATAAAAATTCATTAAAATCTAATTACTAGATCAATTTTTAAAATTAAAAATATTAAATAATTTTTAAGTAATAACTCTGTTAATATTGACTATAAAAAAATAAATTTACTATCATTTAATTTGTTATAATGAGATAATTTTAACAAGTTATTACTTATTAATTAATTTTTTATAATTATTAGGTATTAAACAATTTAGTAAAATGTTAAATGATGCAGTAAATATAAATCAAAAAATATCATAATCTATCATAATGCCAATTTTTTATATTTTGTTAAATAACTTAGCCTATAACTGTAAAAAAATAAAACTACTACTATTTAATTCATCTTAGTAAGATGATTCTAATAAGTTGTGATACATCTTTTACAATTATTAGATACCAAATAATTTAATGTATTCTTTATATAACTATAACTATAAATAATTCTTTTTAATATAAGTTTTTTAATAAATGTGATAGTAATTATAAATAGATTGTGACTATATAAAATAGATTTTAAGGATTATACAAATTTATCTTTATATTTACTATTCATAATTAAAATAGAAAGTATATATCAATATATTTCACCTTTTTAGAATTTACCAGAAATTATAATTACTATACAATTATTATAAATGATTTTAATATAATATATAAAAAGTATAAGTAAAATTATAAATAAAAAGAATTTTTTATTGATTTATAATATTTTTTATTAAATCAAATAAATTCTAAATGAAAGATAACTTTTAGTAAATTATACTATTAAATTACTACTTTCAATCTAACATCTATTTTTTAAAATATATAATACTTTTTTTAAAATCAATTTTATCTAGATTGTCTAATCTTTAATTTTAAAATTCATATTTTATAACTTTTTTATTTTACAATATTTCATTACTAATTGTTATACCTTATATTAAGGTTGCAGGCTAAACTGGTTTTTGAATTTAGCAAAATGTCTAAACCTCAGTTTCGTCAATTTTTTTATAAGAGTTTATTATAGTTTTGTCATTTCATATGATTTTTATAATCAAGTTTCAC